TGCAGAATCAAAGACAACAGAAGGTAAGATAATTAAGTATTAAAATAAGGGGAAGAATAAACGTGAACTCAGGGCGCGCCAAAGAAGCAGGAATAACGGCTGATTCGGAGGACGGGTGCTCGGCGGGACAGGATCTAGAGAGGAGAACAGAGTGAGTGTGTTGAGAAGTTTGAGAGGGCAGATGGCAGGAGGATATGAACAGTCTGAGGCTTACGTTCTTCAGGATGAAGGGAAGCAGGGGGGAGGTGAGTCAGGTCTGGGTGAGTGGATGGTCCTGGAGGTAGCGGCAGGTGGGGGACTGAGAGCGGGCGACCAGAGGAGGGCAGCGAGACGTGGTGTGCAGACCCGCAGTTAGTGTCACAGGAGTAGATGAAGCAGACGGGCAAACCAGGTTAATACACAAACAGGCAGGCGGATTGTTTGACAGACGTGCAGGACTGGTGCTCAGAACTACCCAAACTGAGTCAACCAGCGTAGAGAAGAGTCACGCTGCTCCTTAAATGCTCTGGTGCAGTGATGATGATGCCAGACAGCTGGGGAGTCTCAGCCACACCCACCTACAGGGAAGAAACTCAGGAAGAAACCAACAGAGCAGTACCCAGACCGTGACAGCTGGCCACCCCAGGAAAGACCAGTGTTACTGTAATAAATCACATTAATGTTCACTCAAACTATAAATTCATCTTATTCATTCAAGACATAAACGTAAAAATTACAACTAATGAGTAAAGAAATAATCAGAATTTAAAAATGATAAATGTTTCTGCTGCTCACCATTAAAACAAAAGTTTAAAAATCCAAAGTTTTGTGAAGACAGCAACATGTGAATTTAACTAAGAATACATCTCTATAATAAATTTTGAAAAAAAAACATTTCAAATAACTGAAATTTATTTTTCTGAAACGTTTGTTTCTCACATTTGTAGTTAAGTGTTTTGGATACTTATATGTATACATTTTTTTAAATAAACAAGAATAAAGGAGCAATGCATCGCCACAGGCTAAACTCTCCCAGAGTTACCACAAGAGCTAATTTGGTGTGCCACCCCAAAGTTTTCTCTGGCCCCGTCTGGCCACCCTTATCTAAAGTTTCTGGGGGCGCTCCTGGAAAAGCAGTCAAAGTGCAAACGAGATAAACAGACCTTTGAAAGAGCTTCAGATATCCTCAGAATCATTCAGGAACATTCTAAAGATAATCAATCCAGATCACTGCAAGCAAAAGGAGGAGAAGCGAGTAACAACTCATGACCTTCAGCACAGAAGTGTGTTGAAGGTCATGCAAGTCTTTCACCAGGAGCTTCATACCAGAACGACACATTTATTCTGCTGCATGATGAGATCTACTGAGCTTTTATCATCCATCTCAGCCAGAGAAAACCGCTTTTCATCCCACTAAATCAGGCAAAGTGTATGATTTCTCCAGATTTGGAATCTTCAAATGAAATTTTATGTAATTTTAAATCATTGAAGGTGTTCTTGACTGCAAAAAACATTTTAAATAACTATTTCTGGTTATAATCAGTCCCTTTGAGTTTTTCATGCAGGCTGAACATGAAAACAGTCTGATAGAAAGTAGCTGGTGAAACTCTAGGATTTGAAAATCCTCACTTATCTACGTCACACTGTGAATTTGCATTCTTGGCCTCGTCCATCTTGACTTGTGCCCGCCCACAGGAAGTATTCATAAAATAATTTTGCAGCAAGAAGGGAGAGTGGACAGTGTCTTGGTGATAGTGACTTTGCAACAGGGCTGAACACGTTCTGTTAGCCAATCAGAAGCAAGAAGTGTGCATATTATTGACAATAATGAGCAATCCAGCTGTTTTCAGACCACCTCTACACCAGCAAGCTTCTGTTTCTCAGAACAAGAGCATCATAGTTTTTAAATTACCCATAAGGCATTGATGTACACTAGAGAACACTGCAAATGTATTGAATTAACCACACCTTTAAGAGAAAAAAGGCAACCGTTAAAACAGTTTTGACTCATTTCCTCTTGTATCCTTGTGAGAAGCGTCACAGGAAATGAGTCATTCCTGAAAATCTCCCTATAAATTCTTGAGGAAATTTCACACATTTAAACAACAAATACACATGAAGAATGAAAGAAAATTGCTGAATGACAAGCAACAAGCGACCTGACTTCATTAGAGCTAAATAATCCAATGTTTGTGCAAATCTTTGGCATCTTCATCTGGGCTTGGCCCCTGAGTGACAGACTCACCCGAATAGAGCTGTCACTGAGCTCGATGTGCACAGAGACAGACTTGGAGCACACAGGGGGGAGCGCAGGTGGAGCACAGGGAGCCCCTGAAGTGTCTCATTCAAAATGGGAGCAGAGTGAGGGAGGAGGAGGAGGAGGAGGGAGGGAGAGAAAGGAACACAGAATAAGATGTTATCACTTTCATCTCCTCCTTCACAATGGTGTGAAGGGAGCTCCAGAAAACAGATGACCTACATTTCAGAGCTGCAGCAGCTGCAGTAGAAAAAAGAAAGGAAGTCAAAAATGTAAATAAAGGAGAAGGAGATAAGGTTTATAGAGCAGAAAGAGAGGAACGGGAAGGTTTCCAGCTTGACAAGGCAGGCATGAAAAGGTAGAGAAGCAAGAAAAGAAACAGGAAAAGTTTTGACGGTAATCCTCTTCGACTCTTCCTTCCTTTCCTCTCGAGTAGTTATATAAAACACGTCTAGAATTCTGTTCCATGCACATCAAAGAGCCTGCACTGCTTTGCAATCTGCATATGTGATGCGTCAAGGGAACCATGGCAGGGGTGTGTGTGTGTGTGTGTGTGTGTGTGTGTGTGTGTGTGTGTGTGTGTGTGTGTGTGTGTGTGTGTGTGTGTGGGAGGAATTTTATACTCTAAAATAAGTTTCTTTGGAGAGTATTTGTGTGTGCTTGGATCCGTGACTGCTTAAATCCTCCAAACAGTCCTGTTTATTACTATTTTATTATTACAGAACAAAATCTGACCACAAAGGGAAGAGTTGAAAACAGAAGTAAAACCACCTGCTTGCTCAGATTTTAAGATGGCAAAATGAGGTATAATCTGAGAAGTTCTCATTAAAATGTGCTAATAAATGGCTTGAAAGAGCTGAAACTGTCACTGGATTAATGTAGCTGCAAATGAAGTCATCTTACTGGAAGTGAAAGCTTTATACTTCTAATTATGAAGCCGCTGTCACTGATCCACTGCTGCCACCTACTGGTGCAATCACAGGACTGCTCCCACACCCTCAGCTGCTTTAGTCAAAATGTTTCTACCCTCCACAATAAAATAGTCCCCACGTAGCTTTCAGAGAGTTTGTTGAAGAATTAAATAATAGTTGTTGCTTTTATTTGGATTCCCAACATCTGGAATTTACAGACTCTACAGATGAAGGTGGTAAAGATTTAAAAGACAGATAAGAAAAATGTTAATGAGTCATGTTATTTAGCAGTTGCTCAGGAGATAGAGAGGGTTGTCCTGTAATTTTAAGTTATAGGTTTGATCCCGGCTCCCGCCAGAGAATGCTACTGTTGTCTCTTTATCCCCATATTCTGTTGTCTCCACAATACAACCCATGATATTCATATTTGGGCATCCAATTTTTCTCTATATAATCTCTAATAGCTCTAAAAGAGTCCTTCCCACAGCAGATTTGAAAGTCTGTTGAAATGTCCACTCATGGTGCAAATTTAGCATTTGATTAAATCATAAAAATGACACTATGCACAACCCAATCAAGTTCCTGATACATAAATATTAATGCATATTTATACATATGCATTTATTTTAATTGTCACTAATGTAAAACCACTTCAAACCAGTTAAATGTTGGTGAACAGAAAAGAGTGCAGGATTTTGTCCTCTCTCCAAGTAGCCAGGGCGCATGATCAATCAGGTCACAGTGACAGGAAGCTCACACTGTCACATTTAGAAGATGCTCTCTGAAGAGCTGGGTCTTCAGTATTTTCTTCAAAATCGACAAGGATGCCCTGTTCTGGTAGTGCTTGGTAGGTCATTTCACATCCGTGGAACAGCACATGAAAAGAATCTGGATTGTCCTGAGTGGGGTGTAGGCACTGCTGGCTGATGATATTTTGATGACTGAAGCAGCAGAGCCGTGATGTAAGCCTATTAAACAAATGTTCTACATATATTGGACAAAGGCTCTGTATCTATTAGACCCATGCTACATCTATTAGACAAACGCTCTGTATCTATTGGCCAAATGCTCTTTATCGATTGGACAAAGGCTCTGCGACTATAAGACAAATGCTCTACATCGATTGGACAAACACTCTGTGTCTATTAGACAAATGCTTTACATCTATTGTTGTAAAACTGGCTCAAAATCTGGAACAATTTATTCTAATTTTCTAGATTTTGAGCCTTGATAATCACAACTTTTAAACTCTGAGTTGTGGTAACTAGACTTTCTTTTCTTTGAAGCCGTTTCATTTGTCATGCTAAGAGGGTCTTTGGGATGTTGTCAAGTACCTGCTGCACCTCTTCACCAACAACACCAACATGTTTCAGCCACATGCTCAGAGGTGTGAAAGCTTGTGAAATTGTGAATTTCTTCGTTGAAATTGAAACTACTGATCCAAACGCCTTCATGCTATCTGGATTATTATGAGTCAGCATTAGTGTAAAGTATTATCCTAATTTCCCATCAGTCTTGTTCAGTCATGTTGGATAGCAGGTGCATGTAGACTCGGGAGATGAATCACATGACCTGTATCTGTAACCACAGTGTTTATGTTTATGTTTTTAGCAGACACTTTTGTCCAAAGCGACTTACAAGTGATAATCGGCATGTTGCCCTTGAGGTTTCCAGAAACTCCTACACAGAAACCAACATGGAAACTTTAATCCCTGCAGGTCATGGTATCTTGCTGCAAAGTGGACATTTTTCCCTCACATCTCAATGTAGAAACACACGTGGCAGAGCAGAAATGTTGAATGACCCAGTCAGCCTGTATAATAATGAAACTGAAAAAAAAAGTTTAGCCATCATAAAAGAAAACAAGCTGGTTTAATAATTTGAACATCAAACAAAAAACAGGAAAATGGAATTGTCCACAGGATGAAACAAAGCAGCTGTGTTTTAACTTCATGCACAAAATAATGCAAGAATGTTGTTGTCATTGTTGAAATGTGTAAACATCAAGTTAAATGCAAAAACCTCCAATTAAACATTTTCAAACCAAATTCCTGCTCCGTATGAGATCCATCACGTACAATTCCCTAAACAACCAGACAGTATCTTCACAGCGTGGACATTTAGAACGATTTCACACAGTTACGGAGTTCATTTTATCAATGAAAACAAAATCTGATATATGTTAATGTCAAGACTAAGAACAAAAGGCCTACATCTTTTATCGTCTCAGTTTTATATTATTAGATACTTTAAATGATAAAATATAAAGGGTAGAAGTTTAATGCACATGCCCACTTCTAAAATGTACCAATGATGATCTTTAAACCTTCATGCAGCATTTCTAGCTAATGTTAATCTTTCACCTCCCAGTGCTTATTACCTGAATCAAGTCTCAAATTTAAACTGAATGACCAAAAAAGGTCTAAATACGTTTTAAAAGAACAAATGGCTCAGTGAGTGGAACAGTGAGGTGCAGCATTTCAGTCTGTGCTATGCTAAGCAAGCTAGGCTAAGTCACTCTGGGACATAAAAGCACCATCTGTGTGAAAACGTTAAACTAATTTTCCTTAATGGAAATTAATTTCAGCTAAATGAGAACTGTACTTTCATTAATAACATAAATAACACTTTTAGGCTGGATTTATCCATTGGGATAGGTGTGATCCCTGATGAAGGGATATTCCTGAGGACTTTTCTCCTTATCTGTTTATTGTCTGAAAGGAGCCATCAGACCAACAAGACAACCCCTCCATATCTTGTTTTTGCTCATTTCCTGGTCTTGCTAGAAGCATTTCCTTCATGTCTTCCGTCTAATCTCCACAAATGACCAACAGTTTCAAGTTGAAAGGGTTTTCAGGAGTTTAAAAATATGCTACTTTCACAGGAAAATGGAAAAACTGTTACACCACAAGTGTCTTGGTGCTCACATATTTACCACCCTTGTGTTTTTTGTGACCAACACTGGAGACCTTCCTGCTGTTCCTCAACGCCCTTCCCTTCAGCTTCACACTGCCGGGGACACTTTCTGAGGACAGCTTTCCCTCTAGCGTCTCATTGGACCCCTCTTGCTCAAAGTTGTGGAGATTCTGGCAGGTGCAGGAGTGTTCCAGACTGGGAGGCTCCCTGCCACAGCAAAACCACTTTGTGGAGCTGTAGAAGAGCTCTATGCAGCTGGAAATGGCTGAGATCACCCCTACAATGAAGTAGAAGCAAAGGAAGATGGTTTTCTCTGCAGGACGGGAGGTGAAGCAGTCCACTGTGTAGGGGCAAGGGAAGCGGCTACACGGGAACTGAGCCTCCACCTTGAAGCCGTACAGCTGCCACTGGCCCACCAAAGAGCCCACCTCTGCCAAAATCCGAAAGATCACGTTTACAGTGTACAGCCTTCTGAAATGGACATCCTCGCTGTAGTCCTGGCTGCTACAGTGACTGACTTTGGAGATTCTCTTGTTGTGATGATGCGTGGCATACAAGAGGAAAAGCAGGGACGGTGTAGCAATGAGAACAATGTGAAACACCCAGAACCTGTACTGGGAGATGGGGAAAGCCATGTCGTAACACACCTGCTTACAGCCTGGCTGGAGAGTGTTGCAGGTAAACTCTTCTTGTTCGTCCTCGAACAAGTCACTGGCAACGGTTCCCAGGATCAGCATCCGAAAAACCAGCATGAGCAGGAGCCAGAAGCGACCGAGCATCGGTGAATGAGCCTGGAGGTTATCGAAAAGGCTGCTGAGGAATCCCCACTCACCCATGACTAGCTTCCTCAGATATGAATCAGCTGAGATTTGAAAATGTCTTCACCTACACCGCTCAGGTCTGAAATCTGATTTAAAAAGAATCCAAGACGTCACATCCAAGTCGTGACTCCCAAGTGAAACCAATCTGCGGGTCAAAGGCTGGTCTACGGTTTACGGTCTCGGTGAGAATTGACCTGAAACCAAAAACAAAACTTTAGACAACCTGCAAACAAAAGCAACAATAAGATGGAACTGAACTCTGACAGGACTAACTATAAGGTGCGTTTTGTGCCTTATGATTAAGAAATGACTTACCTACAAGCTGCTAGGATGTGTTCCAGAGATAAAATGCCACAGTACCTTATTCAAGCCAGTGGATAACAAACCAGTCCAGCCTGATTCCACTTTCCCCCCTATGTGTTAACACAAACATCCTTCCTTAACAAGCCATGGAATAAACCCGAAGATTTAGAACAAAAACAATTAAAAGTAAGCAGCCTGATAATTCTTCTACTCTGTTCCAAATGTGATTGAGGTTTGTCATGACTTCAAATTTGGAGGGTGGTTCCAGTTAAAGGAAATTCCTTCTTTGCCTTAATCTGCATCCAGTTTCAGTCACAGGCAATGTTTACCCAGGAAAGGCAACTCTTGATGAAGGTTTCAAAGAGCTTCCTAAATGACAGGAAGGATTTGTTTAGTTTGTACCACCAGTTTCCGTGATCAGGAAGGATAAGCTGGGAACGTCTGACCTGGTCGAAGCCTAAACACATGTAATTAAAAATACTTTTGGCAATTAGATGCACCCTGATGACTGTATTCTAACAACGTGGTGATCGTCTTAAAGCCATATTAGGCAACTTTCTCATATTTTTATATCATTTTCTTGAGCCAGTATGTGCCAAAATTAACTTTTACAGGGTTAATGAAATGTCACTCAGACCACCACCACCCGCTGTAGCAAGAGTATCACACTTGCAACTTCAGAGTGCTGGTCCAGTCCTTTGAAATTAGTAAAGTGGAGCCGACACGCCCCGCATTGCAGTCTGCTTCCGGTATGTTTTAGACCATGAATACAGCTTATCTGAGGTTGAACCACTCCTGTGGACACTAATGAAGGTGGGGGAGGCGTTTCAGCTGTTAGATTTGTGTTTAAAAGACAAACGCAAAGCAAGGAAAGAAGTTTCACTTTTGCTTCTACTAAATAGACACTAGGGGGTGCTAAAGCAAGCTAAATGCCAAGTGTACCTTTAAGTTGTACATTATTCTCCACTAGTCTACCTGTTTTACGGACAAAAGAAAAGCTGCTCACACAATTAAAAGAACACACATTTTATTTCAAAAACAGTTAAAGAAAAGCCACTGAAATATTTACATGGCAACGGAAACAACAGGATTATTGCAGTCATTAAAACACTGGATGGATTTTAAGACAAAAACTCGTTAAGAACATTCAACATACAACAAGTGAATTGAATAACAGACTGTCCTACTGAGGCTTCTTCAAGTAGGAGTGGTCTAACAAAACTACCCAGGTAACTCAAAAAACTTTTAAAGACTCACATTAAAAATCAGAGTCTGAATCGATGTTATAGTTGACGGGTTTGCGAGCGCGTGCCGCTTTGTCTCGGGGTGCAGCAGCAACTGGAGAGGCCATTTCCTGGTCCGAAACCAGGAAGCTGTCATCCTCATCCCACTTCTTAGGTTTCTTAAAAAAACAAAACATATTCAGGTGTTAACGTATAAATATACAAAGAAAACCGCAGAAATGAAAACCTTACGGTATAATAGGAACAAACCTTGGGGCCGGCATTTGTTTTGGTTTTGAGCCTCGACATGAGGTTACCCGAATCGCTGTCCGAGTCTTCGTTGACCACCTGCTTTCGTTTTAAAGGTTTCGCTTTTGGAGCTTTTAACTCAGCCTCTGAGTCGTCAGAGTCAAAGGAGGGCAGCTTTGAGGCAGCAGCGGGTTTGGATGCAGGCTTGCGCTTGGTCAGAGCATCAACGATGGACGGCTGCTTCACATCTGGGAGCGGGGGGAAGTTACTAGCACTGCAACTAGGAAACCTGAATGTGTCTTTTATAAACCATAATGAGCCAACTAGTTTACCTGCCGCCTTCTTCTTGGAAGCAGCTGGTTTCTTAGCAACAGCAGCTTTCTTAGGTGCAGCCTCTTTGGTTTTAGACTGAGCTGGAGCCTTGGGAGCAGGATCATCAGAATGAGCTGTAAAATGTTTATAAGGTTAGGTTGGTTAATAAATCACCTGACTTTAAGCTAACACCCGTCTCAGACACGCCAACACCCGTGTCAAACAAACACTTACAACTAGACGTGGCTTTGGTTTGTTTAGATACCGATTTGCTCTTGGTCTCCTTTTTCCTGTGAAGAAAATTCACAAAATGTAAGACAAGTTAAAGAAAACCATCTAAATCCCAACCCTTCCATTGATGTACACTAACGTGGGCTTTGGAGCTTTGGGAGGCGGAGCTGGAGAGTCCTTGTCGCTGTCCGACGCGGCGCTGAGCCCTACGTTAAAGGACGAATCATCGTCGCTGATAACAGCTCTCTGTTTAGGGGCTTTCTTCTCCCCGTCATCAAACTCATCCTCACTGTCCGACATGCTGTACTTCACTGGAGCTAAAAAAAAAAAAAAATAAAAATCACAGAAACAATTGTTTAACAAGTATTTGAAATAAATGTACTATTCTTGTAGAGAAAGAATCCAAGATAACCAGGAGACAATCCCATACAAGGTTAATAAACCAGAAACATTAGCCCTTGATCTATAAATGTTTAGAACGAGTATCTGGTGTTCATCTGTGACTTATTCTGCAGTGTAATAATGCCGACTTACCTTTAGTTCTGCGTTCCACCTTCTCTCTGGGGACAACAACCTCCTCCTCAACATCATCAGCATCCATCTCGCTGTCAGAAAAACCTTCGGACTCATCGGACCATGGATTCTTCTTAGACTTCTTGGGCACCGCCTTAAACTGGAGAGTAGTCTGCTTGCTGGTCTTTGAAGCTGCAGGAAACAGGTGGCTCTTAAGAGTTCAGGTTTTAGGTGTCTTCATGTCATATTGGGCTGAAAACTGAAAGCGTCAGTGTGTAGTTTCCTGGCGCTAGGGGGCAGTGCATACATTTACTGTCGTTTCATATCACTGTGACCGTTGCTAGTAGTTTCTGGATCTGCTCGGGTTCATGTGCCTGCTGATGATGTTAAACTATGGCATTACTGCTCAGCCAAAACATATGGCATCTCTTTCTATTCTGTTCCCTCACATCAGTTTTGGAAAGAGTTTAGCAGTTTGTTATTAAATTAGAGTTTCTTACTGCCTAAATGTTTTTGAACATGGTAACCTAACTTCTGTAAGTCGAACGTTCAGCCAATCATCTAGTGTGACATCAACAGGCAGTGAACCCGAGCCGGCCAGAAGAAAACACGCCCTGCCTCAGAGACGTTAGACTCACACCTGGTGTACTCTAGACCCGATTTTTATGGTTAAATGTTACAAAGCTGCCAATTTTTTTCAATGACGGGACATCATTTTATTCATTTTCAATGTTTCGATGGAAGTTTCCAGAGATTAACGGCAAAAATGCACATTATCTCTTAAAAGTATTGTTTGATCCTTTTTGGATATCGATGTAATCTGGACCGGAGGAGTCAGAACCAAGTTCAGCACGAATAAAAACCAGAACTTATTAGTGAGAACTTGTGAAATCTACCCTTCCACGCCAAGCCTTACATCTTCCTTCAGACTTTAAAACGGTTTACTAACAAGTGAAATTATTAAGCAATCTTTATCTGCCAGTAAATATTCACTAATAAGAAATGAGTTTATTGTAAAACTACAAGTTCTCTGCACCGTGAGTCATTCCCACCTTTCTCCTTGGCATTTGTTTTCTTGCCCAGCCGTGCAACCAAACCAGTTTCCTCCACTGGAGAAATGTTCTCCATGTCCTCGTCAAACTCCATCTTCACTATTAAACTGTCGCTCTGCATTAGGGGAAAACAAAGGTTAAAAGTGATGAACACGGATCAGACACAGAGGAGAAATAGCAGCGCTTTGTGTGGTGGGACAGACCTTGGCCTTCTTGCCTCGCTTGCCTTCCTGCTTCTCTCCTCTCCTCACACAAGCCTTCTTGTTGGCCTCAGCTTTCATAGCGCTGGTGATGCGAGGAACAATGCGGCGGCCCTGCGGCGTGGGCAGAGTCTCCGTTTTCACTTTCACACCTTTTCCTTTTCCAGCAGCCTTCACAGGCAACATGGCATTCTCCTTCTCTTTTGCCTCAACGCGCTACACACACACACACCATTAAAACCGATGAAAGATGAATCAGGACTACCGTTAAATAAAAAACATTTAAAAAAAGCAATACCTCCAGCTCCTCTGAGAAAGCGGAGAGATCTTCCCTCCACAGGTCTTCTGCAGACTTTTTCTTCAGAATGTTCAACTCTGTCAGCTATTTGGAGTGAGACAGTCAATAATAAGAAATACAAACAAAAGCTTGATAAAAGTTAAATCACATCATGGGGAAAATTGCCCACCTTAGCATCTCTCTGTTTGCACAGCTCCTCCTTCTTCTCTTTAGTCAGAAACCACATGGGCATGCTCAGCAGGTAGTTGTAGTCCGGCCCGCTGTCATCCTGTTCTGCTCCTTCCTCCTCTTCATTCAACTCCTCCTCGTTCTAGAAGAATAAGCAACGTTACACGTAGCATCACTTCATGGTGCTTTTCTTCCTGCTGAACATGGCGGTTTAAGAGCACCTTATCTTGAGCCTGTTTCCAGGCTTTGACCGGGTCTGAGTCATAGCCCATCTGCTGCAGCATCCGAATCAGTTCCTTCTTTGGTTTGTTTTCTGTAAGCAAATGATCAGTTTTAATAAAAGTGTGGGTGCCATTTTAATACAAACCATTCCTAAAGCAGCTACTGACCGATGACCAGAGTTCCCTGGATTTTCTCCAGGATGAAACGAGCCTGGTTTGAGAGTTTAGAGCTCTCTGCTCCGAGCATCCCGACCAGCCAGTCCTTTCTCAGGAAGTAGTATTTCTTCCTCAGCTCAAAGAAGTCTCTGAAGATGTCCAGCACAGACTCATATTTCTTCAAGCTACCCATGTGATCAAACAGGACCTAAAAGGAAAATTCATGTTAGTGTTAGATGTTTGGAAGCAGGTTTGTACTCTTAGGTTTTATGTGATAGTTGAGGACCGGTCCTTACCATGGAGTTACAGGTGAGGGAGCTCTGCAGCTTAAAGACTTTGTGAATCCCAGCGGCCTCCACCTCCACCAGCTTCTCAGGCGTAAGCTTAACAACAAACCTCACCGTGGTGTCGGTGTGGTATTCCTTGTAGTCCGTGATGAGAGGAGGAACTTTCTCGGTTCCATTCAGCATGGGCTCCAACACATTCTCCTTGTAGGCCTAAACCAATGAGAATGCAGAGTTTCATATGGAAGTAAGCCAAGAAAATCTAAGTGTAATAAATGACTTTAGGTAATACTTTAATGTTTCTGATGCCACCGTTAAATGACTGACCTGAGTCCATGTTTTCACAGGCAGTTCAGTGATCTCAATGGTTGTGGAGTCGATGATGGACACCTCTCCGCTGTTCATGAACTGGTTGTCCATCACGTGCTCGATTGTACCTTTGAAGCCTTTGTAGCTTGGGACCTGTGGAAAGAAAAAAAACAAAACAAAACAAAAACAGCTAATCATAATCTATTTTGTGAACACGAAGGCTTGTTTCAGAAGTTTCACTTCCTGTTCTCACCATGGGCAAGGGTTCCTCCCCGTTGAGCATTCGGTGGATGTTGCTGATGATCTCACGGATGTCGTAGTTAGGAAGCTTGCTGGCCCAGCCTGTGCCGATGCCTTCTGAACCATTCACCAGCACAGTCGGGATGATGGGAATGTACCACTCTGGCTCCACTCGCTGATTATCGTCAAAGTTGTACTTGAGCAGGTTGTCATCCAGAGGTGGGAAAAGGAGACGGGCCAGAGGGCTGAAAGAGTTTACACAGTTTATAATCACATCAAACACGGCTTTACTGCACCAAACGAAATGAAGTGTGTGTGTGTGTGGTCTATGGCTAACCTTAGCATGGTGAAGATGTATCGAGGGCTGGCTGAGTCTTTTCCACCGTGCAGCCTGGTTCCAAACTGTCCCAGAGGCTGCAGCAGGTTCAGGTTGTTGCTTCCCACAAAGTCCTGGGCTAAGTTAATGATGGTCATCATCAGAGACATCTGGGGATGGGGGAGAGAGAGAAAAATTCACTAAATGACCAAAAACCCTGACTTTATTTCATTCTCACCTTCACAATAAAAATAAAAATAAATGAATAAAAATCCCAGTTTAGCTGTGTTCAGGTTTGTAACTAGCTGTATGCTAACAAGAAGGTCGTCAGAAAGCAGGTGGAAGGTTAATTAAACTTCTCCTGAAAACCTGCCATCTTATTTCTAGAGATGGACAGAATGTGGATTGACAGATACAGACGTCAGACTGTTGCTGCTGATGTCAAATTGTGATTTTATAATTAATACAAAACACATTTTTTATTGATTTTGATCAACTTATCAATGAAGACGTTGCCTTGCTGGCATGAATTGAGCTAGTCTCCAACAGAGCAGAATAATTTTGTCAGAAGAAGAACGGAGCTCATCTCACCTCCCCGTGGTGGTACGCAGACATCTCAGCCACCGAGCCAGCCAGCTGGGCTACCTTCACCTCTCGCTTATCGTTCCTCTTAAAGCAACAGAACAACACCTTCCTTTGACCCGGCTTCAAACCTAACACACACACACACACAGACACAGACACAGATTTAAAACACCTCCTGACACACACACACACACACACACACCCAGAGCTGTACATTTAATACTAATATTCATGTACACACCATCCACCAAGCATGGGATGGACCTCTCATTGTCAGAGTTGGAGAAAAGGACGAGCTCCTTGTTGACAAAGTCATTGTAGGACAGGAATTTGGTCGACTTGCCGTACAGGTAATCCTGCCAAACAGACATCCAGGTGAGTTTAACAGAGCAGAGCTACACTCAGATGAAGCAGATTAAAGGCGTTACCTCTGGCAGGTTGTGCTCTTTGCGCTGACGCCTGTTGTTCATGAAGTTGGTGAGCCACTCTTTTCTCTCATCCACCTTTTTCTTGCTAAAGGCCTAAAGGGAACAAAAAGTAACGTAACCGAAGGGAAAACAGAAAATAAAAGATGTACTCTGGTCAAAATACACTTCAAAATAATAAAAGCCTGTTTAAAATCATACAAGAGTGATAGCTTCATCGTCCTGAGGTCCACAGTACTTAAACGGGATTTTGTGTTTTTGCATATCTGAGAAGTACTCCTTGGCTTCCTGCGACGTGCTGGTTCCCAAACCTGGGAGAGCAAACAGCACAAGAGATGTTAGTAAATGTCTGCTGTCATCCTCTTGATGAGCAGGTGGGATGAGTGGCTTACTTTTATATCTTTACTACCACACAGGGGTTTATAACAAACCTTTGTAGTATTTGATTTTCCAGGATTTGTGGTTGGCCTGGCTCTCCTTCCACGCTTCATACTCAGGGATGCTGTAGAAACACAACTGGGTTTTCTTGAAAGAAGCCTGCAGGAAGGGGGAAACGCGTCAAAGCGTGCAGATGAAACATAAAAACTAACCAAAGAAACAGTCTCCACAAAGATAGGATGTGAGAGATAGGTGGTTATTTTCAAGGTGTGACACTAGATGGCAGTATTGCTAAAAACACCTGCAGCTTTAAGGTTGGTTTTTGCTTGATGCGTCCGCGAGGTCCGCACGGCTCTGCGTGGCGAAATTGCGTCATTTTAACAACCACGCCCCTCCACACGGCCCAAAATTTCTGCAACGCGCACCTAGGAAAATTTCTAACCACGCAGACGGTCGGACGCGGAAAAACATGGCGGACCGGCAAGAACTAGTATGGCAGAGGTTCGTAAATACAGACATTTGTATGATTCAGCTCTCAGAGATCACCGTGATCAACATGTTGTTAATAATTCTTGGATAGAAATAGCTCGCACTGTCGGAAAAGACGAGGACGCTGTTAAAAATGCTGGAATGCCATGTTGTAAACAGTCATTTTTACTTCTACTATGGTGTAGTGTTGGATGCATGCCATGTAGAGCTCCATGCTGCCCCCTACAGTTTGGGAGAATATTGGCTCACCGCAGAGACAAGCCGCATGAACCATAAACGCTGCGAGTTGTGAAGCGCGTTCCATCCGCGAGCCGCATCACCAAGCGGAAAGTAAACGCATCAAGCATAAACCAAGCTCGACTAGGCTGTGCTTTTAAATGAGATTTAGTGGATCTCCCTGTTACCTTGATGATGGGTGTGATGAACTCTTCCAGGAAGTTGTGCTGGAGCAGTGAAGGCCAGTTGTGGTGGATGAAGTTGATCAACAATCCCTTAATGTGGGAGCCATCTTGATCCTGTAAAAATACCATGAAGACAGTCCAGTCTCATCATGACATCACTGGGTACAGGAAGCACGGATGAACAACTAGCTTTAAAGACAACAACAACTACATAAAATAAAAAAGATAAACCACCTGATCTGTCATGATCATGATCTTTCCATATCGCAGACTTTTCAGGGACTCGGGGTCGCTGTAGTTCTTCTTGTACTGAAGGCCCAGGATTTTGATGATGTTGTTGATTTCAGCGTTTTCCATAATCTGAAAGAAGACCATATATTTATTCTCTCATGCTTTCCACACATCTATCGGCAGTCGGACTATCCGTTTGTGTTTACCTGCTTATGCGTGGCCTCCCGGACGTTGAGCATTTTTCCTCGGAGTGGGAACACACCGTAACGATCCCTGCCGACCACCCCCAGCCCAGATACCGCCAGCGTCTTGGCCGAGTCTCCCTCAGTGAGGATCAGAGTGCAGCCAAGGGAGTTTTTGCCACCTATTGGGAAACATGAGTAATAACGCTGTATTGTGTTTTTAGTTAAAGCACATTAAAAGTCTAAAGCAGAAGTACCTGCATCATTAGCGTCATCCAGCTTTGGCACACCCTTTATTTTGGTGTGCTTCACAGCTGAACACTTCTTGTTGAGCTGGGACTGAGCTTTGAACTTGACCCAGTTCATGATGCTTTCCACAATCCCACAACCGGTAGCCTATCAGGAACCAGAAGAGCACTTAGAGATCACCAAATGGCTAAAGAATACAAAACCAGGAAATCTCCTCTGGAATCAGCACCTGCTTAAAGAACTTGTCACTAAGAGGACAAGTGGAGCCAAACTTCTTGTGCTGCAGCGTCATGTTTTCTTTGGTCTGAGAGTCAAACGTGGGGTTCTCTATCAGGCAGTTGACAAACAGCCACATGTGATTCTTCACCTGTCAGGAGACAAAATGTGTCAAATATGGTGCTTCGACAGATATACAATAAATACAAAGTTAACAATGATTGAACTACCTGGAAGGGTTTGACAGCCACGCCGGCTTTGTTCTTCTTCTTCACCACATCGATGAGCTTGCTGACGACCTGGTCAGCAACGTAGTCGATGTGTCTGCCCCCCTGAGGTTTAAAAGGCAAACATGAAGTCTCATTCACTCAATAAATGTTGTGAATATTAATCAAAGTGACATCAGGTTGCTTGAAAAGCAATCAGAGTTGGTTTTAGCTGCACAATAGTTGGTGAATCTATTTATTTCTATTCTATTCAAATCTATTTCACTTGAGAGCTGCTCTAAGATCCTAATCTAAAATGGCCGTCAACAAAAAAAAAAAAAAAAAAATCTAGACTAGACTGATAATTTTCTAACGACTGAAACACTTTTGTAATCCAAGAATACATCATTTTAAAGTAAGAGGAACTACCTTTGTTGTGGCAATACTGTTGACGAAGCTGACTTGCTGGAAACCTTTCTCACTCATGGTGAGGCAGACCTCCCAGCGCTCATTAACGATCTCATGGATGACGGTGAGCGCAGCGCCCAGCTCGTCCACCTTGTCCTTTACATACATGTCCACGTAGCTACGAAAGCCAGTCACCTAAAAATGAACAGATTATTCTCTAGATCAGATCTGGCACTCAGCTGGCAAAAAGGAAAACAGGTGGTGTTCTGACAAACATGTCATTAGCGTAGTCGGACCATCATTTAGTTGAGCATTTTGAACTGTAATTAGTAATCAAATCACAACTGTTGGGTTTTCATAAAAGTGTTAAAATTCATTTATAGCAAAGCAAGTTTTTGTTGACGTGTGTAATGACATCAGCTCATGGTGTCAAACTCTGGGTTCCTAAACTTTTATAAAAACTCAAAGAGCTGTGAACTCTTACAGTGTGATGAATACACACTCACTGGGCACACCTGTCCAACTTCTTGTTAACACAAATAATTAATCAGCTGATCACATGGTGGCAACTCAGTGCATTTAGGCATGTTTACATGGTCAAGACGATCCGCTACAGTTCAAACCGAGCTTCAGATTGGGAAAGAAAAAAAAAGGTGATTTAAGTGACTTTGAACGTGGCATGGTTGTTGGTGCCAGACGGACAGAAACAGCTGATCTTCTGGGATTGTCACACACAACCATCTCTAGGGTTTACAGAGAATGGTCTGAAGAAGGGAAATCATCCAGTGAGCGGCAGTTCTGTGGGCAAAATGCCTTGTTGATGCCAGAGGTCGCGGAGAATGGCCAGACTGGGTTGAGGTGATAAAAAGACAACAGTAACTCAAACAACCACTTGTTACAACCGAGGTTTGCAGAAGAACATCTCTGAACACACAACACTATGAACCTTGAGGCAGATGAGCTACAGCAGCAGAAGACCACACTGGGTGCCACTCCTGTCAGCTAAGAACAGGAAACTGAGGCTACAATTCACGAAGGATCACCACAATTGGACAATAGAAGATTGGAAAAATGTTGCCTGGTCTGATGAGTCTCGATTTCTGCTGCTGCATTCTGATGGTATGGTCAGAATTTGGCGTCAACAACATGAAAGCATGGATCCATCCTGCCTTGTATCAACAGTTCAGGCTGCTGGTGGTGGTGTAATGGTGTGGGGGATATTTTCTTGGCACACTTTGGGACCCTTAGTACTGATTGATCATCGTTGCAACACCACACCCTACCCGAGTGTAGTTGCTGACCATGTCCATCCCTTTATGACCAGTGTACCCATCTTCCAGCAGGATAATGAGCCGTGTCACAAAACTCGAATCATCTCAGACTGGTTTCTAGAACATGACAAAGAGATCTCTATACTCAGATGGCCTCCACAGTCACCAGATCTCAGTCCAACAGAGCTCCTTTGAGGTGTGGTGGAACGGGAGATTTTCATCATAGACGTGCAGCCGACAGATCTGCAGCAACTGTGTGATGCCATCATGTCAATATGGACAAATCTCTGAGGAAAGTTCCCAGTACCTTGTTTAATCTATGCCACGAAGGATTAAGACAGTTCTGAAATAAAAGGGGGTCCAGCCCAGTACTAGCTAGGTGTGCCCAATAAAGTGGCCAGTGGATGTAATGTACTCTGGTAGGTCAGCATTTTGTAGCTACCCCAAATCTTCGGCCATGTCACAAGACATTTTCCAATGCCATGAAACACAATAGAAGCTGTACTTGATCTTTTTGCTGACCACCTCTTTAACATAACAGTGATTCTTTTCAGCAGCTGAAAAACTTTATTTCATCTTAAAGAAGCCAACTTCAATCTTATTTCAATTCTAAGACTCTCCGAGTTGACCACTTTTGATGTTACATTCAGATTAGGTGATATTAACCCATTAAAACAGGATAGTTTTGACTTTTAGTCTGAATGAGTTAAAGTACTAACAACATGCCTATTGATCATCATATAAACTTACTGGCAGCATCTTGCCATTGAAGAACACCTTCACTCCCTTAGAAGATCCAGCAATGTCATATGCCCTCCTTGTCATCAGAGCCACGGTGTCTCTGTCCAGGGTGCTCATCTTGAACTTGGAGAGATCAGGCCTGAAGGTGATGCACGTATACTCTTCCCCATCAAAGGGCTTGATTTTGGCATCCTCTGATCTGCCCATGTTGTCATACCAGCTCTGTGGAAGACATGAAAGTACAGTAGAAACGGATTTTCCTCTAACAAATTAGAACAATAACAAGTTAAGTCGTAAACAAGGTCAATGTATTTTCAAGTTTTCACCTGCTTGAAAACCTTCTTTGACTCTTTGCAGGCAGTCTCCACTGTGAACTTGGTGCTGAATATGTTGCAGAGCTTGGCACCGTATCCATTACGACCACCTGAAGAACAAGTCATTTTATACCAGTGATCCCCAACTCCCTTCCCCCTAGAGCCAGTATCCAGCATGTTTTAGTTGTTTCCCTAATCCAACACACTTCTTCATCAAGCTCTGCAGAAGCCTGTTCATTTCCTGCTGACTAAAATCAGGTGTGTTGAAGCAGGGAGAACAGTGAAACGGAGTTGGGGATCATTTCTATACAATCTCTGGCTTCACTTTTGGCCCCTTCTCACTCAATGCAGCTTTTTAAGTGGCTTTCCATTACCTTCTTATTAGCAACCCAACATGGAACTGCCCAGGCAAACTGTGACACGCCAAACACGTAACCAAAACCTAAATCTGATCTCACCAGTGACTTTCTTCTCATCATCATCGTAATTGCTGGAAGTAAGAAGCTGTCCAAAGATAAGGGCGGGCACATAGACCTTCTCCACTTTGTGCTCCACCACAGGAATCCCCTTCCCATTATTCCAAACACTGATGGTATTGTTCTCACTAAAAACAAACACACATTTTGGCAGAAGGTGAAAAAACAGTCAGAGAAATCACTAACTGCATTTAAATGTAAAGGGTAGTATTATAGAATACTCACACATCGATGCTGACCTTGATGCGGTTCATATTTTTATCCCTCTGCTTATTGTCAGCTGCATTTACTACAAAGGAACAAAATAAATGGTTAAAGGGTGTTTGTTGGCCAGCGGCACACATTTAAAACTCGTGAAAGCGCCTACTCACCAAGGATCTCATCAAAAATCTTATAAAGCCCTGGCACAAACGTCACGTCACGGCAGTTCAGGCCATCAAGCTCATCATACACCCACATTTGCTAAAGAAAAGAGTTAAACTCATGATTCCTGAAACACCAAAATAAAATAAAATGTTTCCGAGAGACGTGCCTAAATAAATGAACATATATTATAATAAAAATGGTGGTGGGGCTGTTCTTACTTGAGTGACAGGCTCAACAGAACCAATATAGGTGTCTGGTCTGAGCAAAATGTGCTCCAACTGGGTCTTCTTCTGGTAGATCCTCTCCACGGACATTCGCTTCGGATCTTTCTTTGTCTTCTCCACCGGCTTGTTTTCTAAAAAGGCCTGCGAAAAATGTCACAGTTACCGTCCAAATGTACACAACAGGACCGGTTTTATTTAGGTTTCAGATCAACGCATGTGACGCCACTGGACCGAAGAGTGTCACGGAGCTTTACGATTTTAACGCTACAAACGGAATAAAAATAATCGTATGTGCAAATAACACGAAACTGCGTCATCAAATATCTTTCGAGGCTTCTTCAGGAGCAGAATATCAACAAGTTTAGCGCGAGTCGCCATTTAAGCCTCATCTTTCCAATTACTCGGTTTTCTATTTAGTTGGGACAACTTTTCGATAGTTTGGTAAAATTGAACGACTTAATTGAACTGTGTTTGTTTGCTTCGAGAGGAAATTCATACATTATAGTCAAATGTACCCTGTTTTAGCAACGTAAAAGATGGCGTTAGAAACTTAGTCATTTTATTCGACATATATGTGTCATCTTTACAAGAAGGCCGAATACATTTGTACATCTAAACGTTGCTAAATATTATTTTTATTATGCTAAATATTACGTAGCTAAAGCTGTTAACACATGAAGCTAAAACAAAAGCTTGGACACTTTTTAACAGTTGATGTTTGGCTACGAGGACAAACACGCTAGCTCAACGCTGCTAATATTAAAGGTTTGAAGTTACCTTCAGCGGTTCAGCCATCTTTCTAATTCGTGTTGTTTTTAATATCGTAAAAGATGAGGATTGAACAAGTAGTAAAACAGCTCCAGACTAATCCTATGGTCGCCGACGTGATCAAATCCTTTGAAAATTCGAAACTTGGTCCAACGGTTTCGCGCCAGGTGAATTCACCAATCAGACGAGTGACTCTTCTTCTTCGTCTTCTTCGTGTTTATTGGCGGGTGGCATCTAACTTCTAGGTGCATTTCCGCCACCTACTGTGCTGGAGTGTGAGTCGGAGTAAGAGCGTAAAAAACCAAGTGGTGCTCGCTGCAGAACCACAAAGGCGGAGCTGCACCAGAAGGTGGAGCTGCACCAGAGTCAGCCCCGCCCATTCCAGAATCAGCCCCGCCCATCCTATCGGAGTCAGTCCAATTCCTTCCAGTTGTCAGACTTGATAGCATTCTGGAAACAAAGAGGGTGTTATAGCTAAAAAATGCAAGATTGAGGAGGGAGTTGAGAAGTTAATTGAACAGTTTTTGTAAAGGTTCCATATAATTAAAAATCTAACTTTTGGAACTTTTAATCATGTTATATTGTCATTTCCTCATAAGAAACACGCCAAAGCCATTTTTGGCCTCATTCATGCATTTTCTTCCCATCTCAGCTTCAATTTGGTCTCCTCCCCCAAAGTGGGTCTGGTCTTGGTTCTCAAATCTGGATATTCTGTGAATTTTCTGACAATTTATTTCTGAAATGACTTCTACTGAGACACCGCCAGAAAAATCATACATCCCATCTACAAAGACACACCAAATAACATAATAAAATGTAACGCCACCTGATTTTTATCAGATGTGGTGGTGTAGTGGTAATGGTGTCAGGTTGACATGCAGTTTTGCGCAGGTTCGCCTCCCAGCAGTGGAAATATTCTATAATCTCTTTTCCTCATTTCTAGCTACACTTGCCAGTACTATGTTTACAACAATTTATTGGTATGCCGTTTAACATATAATGACTAATGTGTTTTTTTTATTTATTCATTCGTTTATTTAGCCAGTGTGAGTCCATCTGTGAGCAGAGTTTCAACTAAAATGCTGTTTAGGAACGACCAAATTCAAAGAACTTGTAGAGACATAAATATTTTGCTATAAATGAACATTACAACTAAAATATGAACAAATTAAATGTTTCAGCTGGCTGAATAGATTGTTGCCGACCCCACCGAGAATCGAACCAGCATCAGCTGAGGGGAAAGCAAAACGTTAGTCAGACGATCTTGCCACTGGACTACCAGAACCCACAGGAAGGGTACATGCTGTTGTACAGGACTTTTGTTAGAGCGGCTGTGGGCAGATATTCGCTACGAGAAACCTTTTTATTTCGGGATATATTCAGACTTTGTCATGTAGCAAGTTATATTTATCTTGTTTAATTGGAGCACAGAACATAGCATTAACGACTGTAAACTAGTAACAGCCGTAATTCATGTGGGTCAGGTCAGTTTGCGATAAAGTTGAAAACAAAAACGGAAGTCAGTGGGCTAGGCTGAGTTTGCGTGAATGGGCGGGGTTGACTCTGGTGCAGCTCCACCTTATGGTGCAGCTCCGCCTTTGTAGTTCTGCAGCGAGCACCCTCTCTAAAAAACCCCAACTAAAAACTAAATTCTATTCAACAACAAACCACTGTGTTTTAGATACTCAATAGCCAACTTATAATGCCTTTCTTCACCATTTAACAAATTCTTTACATTTATCACTCCACCTCCTATGTTTTTTAATATCTCCCTGAGTTGTCCTCTTCTTTCCTCATATTTTATACAGTTACACAAAACATGTTCCACTGTTTCTCGCCGTTAAATAACCAAACATGCTCAAAAGTGGGCGACTTGTGATCCCTAAGGCTTGCGATGCATTTAACCCTCTTCACACGCTCTTACGCCACACCTCCAAACTCTCACGCTAAGCCAGCGCCTGCGCTTCCCCAAATGCGCATCACGCACAGTGCGTAGGGCTTATGAAAACAAACAAACCAACAAACATGTTATTAATTATAGCATTAGCTGCAGGCACAGAAAAGGAAAAAAAGAAAAGAAAGAGAATTCTGACTTATTTCCCTGAATTCCCTGTCAGAATTCTGAGATTAAAAGTCAGAATTCTGAGAAAAAAGTAAGAATTCTCCTTTTCTTTTATTTCTTGTCAGTGGCTCTAATCCTCTTCCATACAGAGTAGAAATAAATGCATTAAATGTAGAGCACAAAAAGTCTCAATATTAATCCCCCCCACAAACGCTCGGCGAATTGTCCGCTCCCAACAAGGGCGTCAGTTTGTTTTCAGAATTGCTGGGGACAATAACCATACACTTGAGTGGGGTTTAAAAATTGCTGGGGACAGTAGCGGTTTTAGGCACGGGCAGACAGGGCAGTTGCCCGGGGCGGCATTTTTTCATGACACAAAAGGGGCGCACAAGCGCGGAGTAAAAAAAAAAAAAGGAAATCTGCGCCGCACCGAGGTGTTCTATTATCTGTCATATTACAGTGTCTGGATTGGAAACAGCAAGTTGGCGCCCCCTGCAGTTGCAGGCGCTCATGCTGACTGAGAACGTTCACGTGCACCCGTGTGTCAATGAAGAACAGGAAGGGGAGGGGTGCGGCGGGGGAATTCACCTCTGCGTCTTTCCCAGATGAAATGAGCGTGCAGGGGCTGAATCAACTGTATTAACATGGCTAAAGTCAATCACATCTTAACGTTCTTCCATATTTCATTCATAATATCATAAACACAGGCCTATCATTCTTTCAGGTTTCTCTGAATTGTGTGAAATGGCCGAATAAAAAAAGGAAAAACAAAACGATTTTGTGGTCACCCCCCCATCAAGGTCAAATTGTTTAGTCCTGACTAAAGGAAACTTACTGAGTCAGGAGCCAAACAGAAGAGATGAACATAAAAAGGCTAAAACCACCAGGTGCCCGATTCAGGGGGAAAAAAAGAAAAAAGAGCAGAAAGATAAAGGTATGTAGCTCTCATGATGCATGTTTTCAATTTTTTGAACCAGTTAACTGGGATTTTAACGGTTAAATGCGGTCAACTAATTGCTAACAGAGCTAATAGGGCTGAAATATTTAAACGAATATTCAAATGGTTTGAAAAAAGTCCTTGAATCGTTTTTTACTGATTCAAACTAGGATTTGTTAAATGCTCACTGCAGTCTGTGGCCTGCCTGAACAACAACAAACACATGTTGATCATGTTCACATAATAATAAATGAAACCACTCTACAAGCAGAAGAAAACACCCCAGTCACCACTAACTATCCTGTTTATTTATTGCAGATGGCTGCACTGATTATTTTTTACATGATTTGTTCTGTAAAAGTTGGCATTTTTGGTAGTCTACAGTTTTTTATGTCAGTTTAAATTACAATTTCAGAGGCAATTCTAAAATATTATGGATCATGAGATCTATAGGAGATCTACCCCAACTTTTGGACTGCTCTGCCAGTCACTGTGGCTCAAGCTGAGAGGAGCTTTTCAAAACTTGATCAAGTCATACCTGAGGTCACCTATGTTTCAGGGGCGGCTCACTAACCTGGCTCTGATTAGTATCAATCACTCAGTAGGGGAGCAGATTTCATGTGATGACATTATTGATGATGTTGCATCAAGGTTAGGTTTTAATTTTAGTTTGTGTTTTCTGTTCTAAGTGCAATGCTGTAGTGATTATCTTTAGTTTGTTATGTGTGAAATATTTTTGCTATTTAGAATATTTATTATCTATTATGTTCATATATTCTTAATATTTAGTTATTGTTTGTTTTTGTATATTTGATTCTATATATTTTGATACAGTATATAATGTATAGTGCTTTACATTCTGACAACTTCATAGTAATTAATGTAAATATGTGCAACTTAGAAAAATGAATGTTCAATAGTCGTTCTAATAAAACATGCCTGTTTGTAGAAAACATGCGTGTGTTCATGCAGGTGGGGTGGTGTGGTGGTGGTGGTGGTGGTGGGGGGGGGGGGGTTGGGGGGGGCGCTCAAAGGGGGCCTCGCCCGGGGAGTAATTCGATGTAGAACCGCCACTGGCTGGGGACAATAAAGTAGGCTAGCACAGGGGTTGGCACCCCGCGGCTCTGGAGCCGCTTGCGGCTCTTCCATCTGATGCGGCTCTCTGTGCTTGTAAAATAATGAATGGATATTTAAATAAAATGCTTTATATTTTACTGCATAAATTTTACATCTGTATGCCAATTCTAAATGTAAAGATTGTCTGCGTAAACCTGAACAGTTCCAACCCGGTCTTACTGAGACCGGGTTGACGCGTCACGCTTGTGCTCGCAGCGTTTTAAAAAGAATGACAAAAGGGGCACCTGCTCAGTAAAACCACCAACAGGGTGAAAAATACCAAAAATTGAAGGCAGAGACGGGCTACAACTTCTGGATCCATTTTATATAATTCGTTTTATTGATTATCGTCTTATGAAAGATAACTTTGACGTACACGAGCGACCAGGCGCGTTGCAAGCTTTTCAAAAGTGTGGGGGATGTTGTCTGTGCCTAAAATAATTTCATGTTATTCATCCTGTTAGTTTAATTTCCATAATAGCGGAGCAGGTGCGAATTTTAGACGCGTCACGCATGTCTCCGTTTTAAACATGTTTAAACTGTTCAGAATACAAATCCAGGCTCTGTCTCATTAGATTGGTGTAACTAAAGTTTGTACTGAATGAAACTTTACATTAAACCATGTTGAAAAGAAAAGGATCTGATTAAATCGTTTCCCCCTCATTTACAGTCAGTACAGCGCAGTGCACATGGCTCTGGGGTTAACCAAGTTTAGTTGTTTCTCTTTGCAACAATCTTCACAAGAAGGCAAATACTGGACACTGTGTTCAGCGCGGCTCGGAGCGCCCACGGTGGACAGTGAGCTGAAGATCTGTAGAGTGCAGTGCAGAACCACGGTGCATGCGATAAGGTTTCCTCCCACTGAAGCGGTCTGGAAACCCGGTCTCTCTGAGGGATGTGCCACTTGGAAAAATGTTCTTTTTATGAAATTATGAAACTTTGGCTGAACAGCGCTTGTTCCCGTCTCATATGGACACGCATGACGCATCCAGTCTGAGGCAGAATAGTCTCTTCAGCTCAGAAAGCACATGTAGAGACATTTGATTACGCACAAAGTTTATGTGGAGCAGAAGCGGTCGGGCCACGGCAGGTGAAATGTTCCTAGCCTACATGAAGTGAAACTGTTTAATTGTAACATTAATATGTTACTGGACACGCTGGTCTGGTTGGTTAGACCAGTGTTTGAAGTGGAAAACACACACACACACACACACCAATTATAATAATGCTGATAGGGTGGACTAGAAGACAGGTGATGGTTTACGTATTTAAATGATGATCAGACTGCTGTAAAATGTAATCTCCATCCACATCCAGACACAATTATACTCTATTATTTCTCTAGTTGCTCTGCTCTTGTCTGGGCTGACGTAGCTGACGGTGCGTGCGGCGCGCCTAACTAGCGGCTGATGCACATTTTACGCATTTGGAGAGGTGGGCTGGATGCTTTGCTTTTACTGGAAGATGGTCCACTTAACGCACGGGTGTAGACTACATATTAATGACAAATGAATGAAAATTAAATTGTGAGTTTTTACTTCATATTTTAGAAACAAAAATGACGGGGGAAACATTTATTACGTCTTTTTAAACAAAATTTTCTAGCGCGACCTGCCTGCTTCACTAAGTCACTGCTTATTAAGGTCCGTCCAGAATTACCGTGGCCCACCCAAAAATGAAAACCTGGCGCCGCGCCTATTATAAACTCTGCAAATGGTTGTTCTTCACTTTATCAAACTCAGACTTTGTACAGCTAATGTCAAGATGTAAAATCATGAATTCAGTCGAGCTCTTCCGTCCCTCCCTCTCCTGCTCTCTGGAAACCCAACATCGGCTGTCAGAAGCGGGAGGTGAAGAAGGAGATGAGGCAAACAGTGTGAGTGCGACCTAAAGAAACCAGACTGGTGTGGAGGTGAGCAAAACAGCTGGAAAAGTGTGGGTGTTGAATCCCCCACGGGTGCGACGCCCATGCGAGCGACCGGTACCGGCTGCTGTCACCTGTTGTGAGCAGCTCTCTGCTGTCTGAGGGTAGGCCCCACCCACAACGCCGCGGCTGCTGCGGTGTTTTCTTTACTGTGGGAAACGGGTAATAATGGCTCTTTGATGGGAACAGGTTGCCGACCCCTGGTATGAGATCTGAGCTGGTAAAACAAAAATCCTCATCAGCAGGCTTTTTTGAAAGTGGGGGGGACACAGCTGCCAATCACAAATTTTGCCGGGGACATGTCCCCGGCGTCCCCGGTTAAAATGACGCCTATGGCTCCCAACCCCATGGCCCCGTCTCACTCAATGTTCAAAAGTTGGCAGCCCTGTATTTTCATTACTTTACACTATATTTTTTCCTTCCTGGTGGCATTAACACGCAAGAATGTCATCAAGAAGAGCCCCTTTTAGAATCTGAAACTGGATATTAGCTTTTTAATTATGAAAATAACTCCTAAACAAAAGCTTAACAAAAAGAATAAGAAGTCAGTCACTGCAGAGATGATTGAGTCTTAAAAAGAAGTAAAGAATAAAGGAGGATGTGATATTTTAGTTTGTCTGGGGCGGCTGTAACTCGGAGCACCTGTCTGATGTCAAAGTGTCCTTGAAAACATGTTTATTTTTGTTAACTTTTGCACAAATCCACCTACAATAAAACAACATCAACAAGCTACAGCTGATAACTGACAGAAACAATATATGGCAATATTACCGTGAAAAAAGTCTGAAAATAAAAAAACAAACCCGAGCTGCTGGTAAAAACCTTCATGTGCAGGATGTAGCGTCCAGCAATGGTCAGTTTTAGGTACAGCTTGACCTTTCAACATCTATTCAACATCTGGTCAAACCGGTGACACAGGACTGCATGTGTTCCCTTTAAATGAGCCTGCCTTCATACCAGCTGGAGCTCACAGACTCTGCAGCTCTGATGACAGATAACGACATGTCAACAATAACTTTCTTCCCCAAGGCCTCCACATAAGGAACACTCCAGCTCGGATCAGTTGCTAAATTCAACAATGATTTCCTAAATCAATATGAACTTCTTCCATGACTTATAATATAATCATTAAATAAACATTTGTTTATTGCTACTTTTAATAATTAGATTATACTGAAATGCTTCATTAATATGTGCTCACTGAATGAAGTTTGAAATGAATGTTATGTCTACAATGACTGCAGTGTGGTTCTGCAGGTTTATATGGCAAAGGTCATAACATCTGCACTCACACCATAACAAGTAAGGTTATATTAAACTCTGACACATAAATAGTCTTTTACCCAGTCAGAACATCCAGTCAAAGAAGGCGTGTTTCTGAGTTGTCTTGGTAACTTCTCTCAAGCCTGTCAACCTCTGATTGGCTGTGCAAATCATAACATCAAAACCTTAAAACTGGGTCACCCTGATTCGGCAGTTCTAGAGAAAGCTTCAGACCGGCCATCTGAAGCAAAACCTCTTTAACCATCAAAGGTTTTGACACGTCGTCAAAACCTTTGTGCACCTGCGAAGCTGATAAGCAACAGTTCCTGCAGAACAAACCTAATATTATTAGACTCCTTAAAGAGTCCCAGACACGCGGTTCCATCCAGCTGTTGAGACCCGAGACATCTCTGGACTGAAGAGTCGGTGCCACGATATTCTACAGCCCTCCAGTGCCAGAGGTCAGCCGACCCCTGTGACATTCGGATCCACCAAGAGGGTCTCCAAAACAGGTGAAGTAGACATGACAGATTGCATCTGATGTGTCTTTGATAAGAACTTCATAGTTTATGCAAACCAAATTCTTTTACATCCAGAACTCAGCTTTCCTAGATAAGGAGGATCTGACTAACACCGCATTGACACATAGGTTTATACATCACATCCACTCACAGTAACTGCTTAGTTAACTTGTCATGTTTTAATTGTTTATAAAATAAATTCTTACTTTTATAAACCTGACTCTTATTGGGATAAAAACAAAGTGTGTACAATTACTTAATAAAGCAAAAATCCTAGAATCTTCTAATAAATACAATAAAGACCAAGCAGGGTTGATATTTTGTATTTAAATAGAGTATCACAGCTTATTGGTCATAAGTAGAGGTAATATATATCTTGAGCTCTTAAAGCGCTCAATTTGCCAACGCTACAAGGAGTTTACAATTACGTAGGAAAAGATGTTTCATTCCATCCCCATTAGCTTCCCGCTGCTAATCTTCAGGTACTTTCCAACACAGCTGTGTGTTTTCTCTTGCAGCATTTTCAGTCCCCCGACACACCAGCAGAACTCATTTTATCAAGTACAAGTGGGCAGTTTGAAAGTGGGAATACTAAGTACTCAGAATCCCAAAATAGTCCCCTAGTGAAGTAGATAGACATGTTTTCGGTACCAACGGCCTCAATGTTCCTTTATTCATGGATGGCTGTGTGTTTTCTGTTGGTGAGAAAGATGAGGGAGGAAAAGCTGAAGGGAACCACATTCTCACACCGTACTTTCGGTTAGACCTCCAGTTTTTGTCCATGGTTTTAACATCCTGGAGGTTCTCGATGTGACCTTTAATGTAAACACCCCCACCCTGCCAGTCATTGTTAACATGTCTGAGAGACACAATAAGGAGCTGAGTTATTAATTACTTTAGAAGGGCAGAGGAAAAATAACATCAACTACCTTAATCTTGTGCTGACTAATAAAATAACATTTAAGATGCTGCTGGAGGAGTTGGGTCAGGAAGTGTTCCTCTATCTCATCGGTACATTATTCCCTTATGGTTTTGAGTTAGAAGTGTAAATTCAGGCCAAGCTGGTGTTTTTCAAACAGTTTTAAGAGTTGGATGGGATGGAGGGATAGCAGC